CCATGGTAGGCTGGGAGCTGCCTTCAGGTGGAGAAAGCTTGGAATCCCCCACCTGTTCTGTCCTTTGCCAGCCCATGCTACTCACCCTCCAGCTCGGGCTCCTTCAGATGCATGTGCTCCAGCTGGCTGAGCAGAAGGTGGGCCTGCTCCTCCTCCACAGAGCCACAGTGTGAATAGGTTCCCAGGTCTTGCGGGCAGGACGTGTCCGGTGCTTCAGTGAAGTCCTCTGGGTATTCCCTCATCCATGAGCCCAAAATGAAAGAGAAAGCTCTAGATGTAGTGGGAGAAACAGCAGAGTTAGAGGTTGGGCCTCGCCTCAGACTCCTCAAGCACAGGTGTTGGAGCTGAGCTCCTGGGCCTACTCCTGCCTATACCCCATGGCAGACCTGGTAACCTGGCTGCACTGCAGACATTGTCTACACAAGGGATGCTACTCCACCTACATCACAGTGAAACCCACACCACCTCCTGGTGTCCCTGGTCATGCTTCCCAACCTGTCATCCCTGGGATGCTTTGTCCTTAAGTTTATTATCCCCCGAACCCAGAATGTCCTCACTCAGGCAGCCTCTAATGACTTCTAGGTCCTAGAGCCATGTGCAAATGGTCTTTGCCTGGCTCTCAACCAAAAGAGCACATCCTGGCCCTTGTGCATACAGAGGTCCCTGCAATAGTAGTGTAGGGCCTTCTCTGTTCTGTTTGGTCCTGAGGTTTCCCTGGGACGTGGGACTGGGTGGACATTGTGCCAGAGGCTTCTACCCCTCCCCCCCAGGCACAGAACAAGCCAAACTAACTCCCTACATGGACACATTTCTACCTGGATTTGAGTCTTCCTTCAGGAGTGGCTGCCATTTCCCTTTGCCCAGGCCTCTCTAAGGCCAGCTCTCCATTGCACCCACCATGAAGACACATGCCTTCCCTCCTCCCCCAGGCACACTCACTGCTGCAGGTGCTCCTGCGCGCCTTCCTTCTTCTCCTCATTGTCACGGGAATGGCTGTATCTAGGGGACACCATGAGAATGTCAAACATACTGTGTCTGCACATGATGTCTACAGTCCCAGTGGTTTTCCTGAGCATAGTATGGAGCTCAGGATGACAAGGATTTCCCTGTTCTTTTTACTGAGTGGTTCCCCACAGTGAAATGCATCCCCATACAAGCTTATGAGCCCACTAGCTTCCTCACACCACTGAACAGGCAACGGGGGTGTCAGTGTTTCCCTTGGGCTTCCTAGTGAGGTTCAGGTAGGTCAGTCCCCCCAAATGGAATATATAGTACCATTATGAATTAGGAAAACATTTTGCTTGAGGTCTCAGCCATGTTAGGCCTCCATGTAGAGAAGGGGTGTCGGGAGCCAAAAGTTGAGTCAACATAATAGGCTTGACCATCTCACTGGAACATCTTGAGGATGAGTTTACAGAATCCAACCCTCATCCTGCCCTAAGTAAACATCCTGCAACTGCTAACGACCACCCTTTCCCCCTGCCCTAAGCAAACATCCTGCACTGCTACGGCCAATGAAAAAGCTTCCTTAATGGCCAATGAAAAAGCTTCCTTATTCCAAGCATATAAATACTCCTGTGTGAAAAATAAAAATTTGCAGCTTGATCAGAATCCTTGTCTTGCTGTCATTCTTCGTGTCTCTTGTCCCTTCATTCCTTCTAGCTTAGGTTCACTGCCCTCATTGACGTCCTGCGGGTCGGGACAAAGGGGGTCTTCATGAGTGAGGGGGCTTCTCCCAGCTCCACCAACAGCCCTGTGCTCTCTGGGCTGTAAGGTCATAATGTGGACAGGCCTGTTCAGGGCCCATCCCACTGCTCCAGCCTCAGGCAGTGAGGATGTTGCTCCTAGCATGCCAGTAGCCAGGATCCAAGCAGATCCTCACTGGTGCAGCACATGCCAAGGCCTAGCCAATGGACCCATCCCTAGGATCAGAGGTGGCGCTTACCTATTGAACAGCAGGGTCAATACGTGATGGGCAGTCGTGAAAGTGCAGTATGTCCCCAGAAATACTGGGATAAACAAGGCATCCCCGAAGAGCAGGGCAGGCACTAAGTGGTCTACTAACTTCTCCACTTTGCCTCCCTGCAGGTATCCTGCCTTGCAGGGATCAGGAAAGGTTGGGGCTAACACCCACTGAAAGGACTCTGTGTCCTTCCAAGGCTTGGGAACCCTAGAGCTGGTGTCATTTTCACTGCACTCTTGTAGACATTCAGCCTCTGCACATTGTGTCTAGACAGAGAATAAACTGCCAACCAGTTGTCCTTGTCTAGGCCTCTTATTCCTGCAGTGGGAGCCTCCGGGAGGAGGATACCAAGTTCAAGGCTAGTCTGACCTAGGCAAGAGATTGTGTCTCAAATCTATGCAAGCCAACTATGAACAAAAGAAACAAAAAGAAAATGTTAGAGATCTGAGCTTCACATGGGGGTGAGAATTTCACAAGTATAGACACAGATGAGGTTTTCTCTATTTGGAAGCCTACCCATGAGAGACTCCCATGTTCAACACATCTATTGAGAGAGGTACACACATGACCTCACATATATACATGGACACCACATGGACACACATTCATCCACACAGACACAGTGGCACGCATCAATGTGCATCCATATGGGTCCTCGCATGCATTAGAGCGAGATGGTGAATTCAGCTCTGCCTGCCACAATGTTTGTGTGCTAATGAGAGGATGGGTGAAAGGTGGGACGCTGAAAAGAATGGGCTGTTTGTTCAATGTCCAACAGGATTTGAGGCCAATCTCTGG